CCCCCTCCGGCTCTTGGGGGCCTGGTCGCCTGCAAACTCGTCCACTCTGCGTCCGGTTGCGCCAAGGTGCCGCGTAGCCGGCCACCAACCCACGGAGGGACTGCGCGCTGCAGAATCCTCGACGACAGCACAGCACGCACGTTGGCGGACATGGGCCACTCGAGTGCGCCCTCGGTTGATCACACGCGCCTGCGGAGAGGCCAGCCTCGCCAGCTCCAGGCAGCCAGATAAACTCAACGGCGATCACTTGCTCGAATGCCTGGCAGCCACGTTGTGTGCTGTCGCACACGCCGAGACAACATGCCCGTTGAGTCTGCCAGAGCCTGGAATGCGGGTGCGTGCCGCATTGGGCAGGGAGGCCGTGGGTGCTTGGTCCAGATGCTTGGTCTGGCTGCTCCCGTCCACTGTCTTGTCTTGTCTCACAGTCGCAGGGACCGCAACTCCGCATCCCAGCCAATGCTCCGAACCCCGGCAAGAACCTCACTCATCATCACCGGCTCTCGGGGCACACGGGGGACACAGAATCCAAGTCGACGGTCGTGGCTGGGAGCAAGAAGCGAACGCAAGGCGCCATCCAGACGCTCATGACGCAATTGGCGGGCTCCATTTGGTCGATGGGCAATCCGGCAGCGCGCGCTGGCTGGCAGTCAGCGTTCGGTGCCCGTTCCACGCACGGGCGCGGGCTCCTCCACACGGGAAACGGCTGCCCTGACTGAGTCCAGGCTCGCCCATGCACCCACCACTCGCATAGAGTCCTTTTAAGCTTATCTGGCAGCACGCTAAGCTTCCAGATGCCCTGATGCAACTCAAAAACGTCCATCGCAAGACGCTGTGCGCAACGCTGTGCGCCTTCATCGCAGTGCACCTGCAAGCTTGCTAAAATTTACATCGTCTCTGTCGATCAAAGCAAGCCAAGCAAGCCGTCCCCGAGTCCCGCGTGGGACTTGCCGGTCGCCGAACCGTGCCGCCTGGGCACGGCTTGGCCCTGTCATGCCACTGGCTGGGCCGGCACAGGGGGGTACGCGAGTACGAACCTGGAAGTCTGAGGTCAGCGTCCTGTCACCGGCGATGCCAACCACCACAACCAACTCACCGGCGCGCAGGCCAACAGCTTTCCTGCCATTACCATACCATACCAAGAGTCCAAGACCACGTGTGAGCAACACCATGCGCAGCCCGTAAAGAAGCAGACGAATAGATTATGGGAGTTACGTAAACGACTTGACTACATAGCTTGGTATCGACTCTATCAAGCACGACACAACCGTCACATTCACGCCTCACATCATTCACCACTTCGACGTCCTCTCGTTACCATTCGCCTCTTTGGCCATGGCATACACATGCCTCTCAAAGGCACCTATCAGCGGCCGCACTTTCTCATCGCCTGCGGGAAGGACCTGCGTGCCCCAGACCCCGCAGACCCCAGCATCGCGGTCGATGAACTACGCACGAGATGAAAGTGTCAGCCAACCCGAGTCGCCAAGCGCTGCCCTTCACGAGGTGTCACGTAACTCACCCAATAGAGATTGGCTGCTCCGCTCCAGCACAAGTACCCCTTTCTCCGGATGGGATGCTTGTCACCAACGACGAGAAGGCCGCCGTACGCCCAGTCAAACTCCTTCGGTCCCGAAAAGTCGCCCACGGCCCAGCTCGCGACCTCGAACGTCTCGCGAAGCGCGTCCCGCGACGCCTGCGTCGGCAGCTGCGGCTGGAACATCAAGCGCGTCGTCTCCCGCTTCAACAGCTTCTCGTCGTCGACCAGCAGCGAGTACACCACCTTGATGTAATCCTGTAGGTCTGCATAGGCGCCCTCGCCGCCGAGACAATCCTTGAGCGGCGGGAAGAAGGAGAGTCCTGGGGGTGCATGACGGAGCCCGCCATCGCCTCGGCGGAAAGTCATGTCGCTGACTTGTCCTGCCAGCTCGGAAACTTCTTGGGGGAAGAATGTGATGCGACTAATGCCTAGGGGCTTGAAGATGTTCTCGTCCATGTACGCGCCAAGTACCTGACCCGTCAGCTTCTCTACCAACCTGCCCGCCCACGTAATGCCGCTGCCGTATGTCCACCCCTCACCCGGCTGATGCAGGAGCGGCAGCGCGAAGAGCTCGTCGATGGTCCCGCTGGGCTTCTTCGGCTTCGTATGCTCGACGTACTGCTTGAGCCGCGGGTCCAGGAAGAGGTACCCCGCGCCGGAGCTATGCGTGAGGAGGTGCCGGGCCGTCAGGGGCCTGTCCCGCTTCTCGAGGGTCGGCGACCCGTCATCCGCGAAGCCGGTCAGCACGGGCTGCTTGGCGAGAATAGGCAGGTGCTCCGAGACGTCGTCGTCGAGCGCAATGACGCCGCGCTCGGAGAGCTGCAAGACGCACAGCGTGGTCAGGAGCTTGGTCATGGACGCGACGGTGAAGACGGTGTCGAGGCGCAGCGGGTCCTCGACGCCGGGCTTCAGCGTCCGCCTGCCCAGGACTTTTTTGTAGTTGAGTTTCCCTGGTGGCCATTTGCGTTAATGCGAGCCTGAGGGCCGGAATTGCGTAGTAGTTTGTGGTGGTCAGATGGCACGTACCTGAGCGGTCCATGGCGAGGAGGACGGCACCGGGAATGACACCATCTTGCACTGCTTTGTCTAGCGTAGCGTCGAAAGACATGGCTGCAACTGAGTTTCGAGTAATTTTTTCTTGCTCGTAAAAGCGTCTTCAATATTCGAAGCTGCAGTGGTCGAAGCTGTAATACGTAGTCGAAGCTGCGACCAGTTCCAAAGGTCGTTTACCCGTTCCTATCTACGTATTACCAAGCCGCGGGGAAGAGACGCAGTCCCTTGTATTGGTAATGCAAGAGCGGTGCGGTTTTTTGATCCTTTCCGGCGCAGCCGTTATAACCGTTGAGGGCTCGAAGCTGTTGACCTCCGGCGGTTTACTAATTCGAGGGCGTTGAGGGAGTGTTGTAATTGTAAGCGCGGACGACCTGTTCCGTCGGGCCAAGGTGAGATGCCGGAGGGGAGGGGCCAGCGGGCGGAGCGGAGGGTGGGGAAGTCCGGGGGGCAGCGGTTTGCAGCTGCGGCTGTTGGGTTCGTCAATCAATCAACGAATTTGGGCTGAAATGTTGAGTTTGTTTCTGTAAGGGCTGAACAAGCTATATATGCTAGGTGCACATGATGTTATTTGCAGGAAGACTTGGGCACTGTGGAGAGGACGCAGATGGCGGGCAGCAGTCATATGTAGAAACAGGCGACGCGCGGGAGAGCGAGCCCCCCGCGGCGGGTATTGGAGCGGGGAGCTTGGGTATAATCAGTGATGACGGAGCGGCACGCCGAGGGCCACAGCGCAACGCCGAGGTCCAACGCCAAGGGGAACTCCCCCAGAGTCCCACCAGTTACAAGTTACGGGCGTTCATGTGCGCGAGCGGGCGTCGCAGCCAGCCCTCGGTGTTTCAATTTCCTCCAAACAGACATCGGGGAAGCCGTTCACCCCACGTTTTTTGTCGCGTACGGGATTCCGTGAGAGAGCGCGTGTGTAAGTTGAGCGGCCGGTTTGTTTTGGGGACGGGGTCGGAGTCGGAATCCTTGTGTAACACGCTGCCGTCCCGGCCCCTCCGTTGGGGCGGCTTGGGGGCCATGGGATGCTCGCCGGCCCCGCCTCCGCAATTCGGATGTCGCTTGATCGGATGGGGGCCGAGTGGATGATCCACGGATGACGAAGGATGATGCGGTATGATGGCTAGCAATGCCCATGGATCGCGAGATAGTGTCAAGGAGTCGAGGACGTGTTGCGCGGGGAGGGCGGCCTCTGAAGGCGGGCCGCCACCCCGCGCGGGAGTTTTGATTGACACGTCCCATCGTCCCGTCGCCTTCAGAGGCAAGTCTCCGTGCTACGCCCTGGGTTCAAACAAACAGTGGACATCTACGTCGGGCGCGCAAAATGCACAGTCGCATTTTACGCAGAGCCGTGCCATACAAGGCGCGAAGTAAGTTGTATGGTATAGTACACGAGCAGAAAAGATCTTGTCGTCCCTGCGAGGAACTGAAGGCGCTGCCTGGCCGATATGCGACTTGGACCCTGTTGGAGGCATCAGGTAAGTGTATGACGCAGCTGAGCGGGCTCCAGTTCCCAGGCAAAGGACAGGGCTGCGATCCATGGATGGATGTGGATGGGCAAAAGCAGGATGGCCAACTTTAGGCACAGGGATATGCTGGCGAGAAAACGTTTCACCTCGCACGGCATCCTGGCCCTTTTGTTTGTTCCCATGTTTCTTGGGCATTGAAGATGGCTTACCTAATGGAAGTAACGCAGTTCCAAGATCCATCCGACCTTGTTTGCGCGCCAATTGCAGCCAAACGCGCATCCCAACGCTAGCACGGGGACGATCCAGCAGCACGGCTGGCCACTGGAGCTGTGGGGGGTCCACTGGAGCTCGACCGCCAGAGCTGCCCAGGTGGTCCAGCTAGCCCTGTGGAGGTGCTGTGCCGGCCCCTGGGCCGCTGGAACCTCCCGGCCGCCAGCTTCCATCCATCCCGTCCATCCCCGTCCCTTTGAGAGCACGAGGTGCAGCGTGCAGTGGTGCACCACCACCAGCCTGGTGCGAGCTGCAGCCGCCCACGCGACCATTCGTCGGATCTGGACAGCCTGACGCAGGTGCAGGCACACCGCGTCTCTCGACTGCTGCACCTGTGAGGCGTGTGGTGCACCAGGCAGGGCGCTGTTCCTGCGGGCCTGTCACGTCACGTCAACGAGTCGGGACTGACGTCGGGGCTGCCTCGCGTTGTCGTGATTCACCGTGATGCACCGTGTCGTCCATGGAACCCAGCCAGCCAGGCAGCCAACCCAGTGTCGCTGAGACATTGCATCCTAGCAAGACATCGGGTGCCCTGCTCTGCTCTTCTGCCGCCGTTGCTGGCAGACCGAGTCTCGCACGTGCAGATAAAGCGCCGCGAGGCCCGATAAGACGGGCCCCTGTTCAGCCAACTGCAGCTGGAACTGCCTGGAGCAGCTGCCAGCGCAGCGCGGTGCGGGCGAGCGGGCGGGCAGCGCAGTGGACACCTCACCCCCAAAAACCACAGCAGGGAACCTGACCTAAACCTGGAACCTCCCGCAGGAAAAAATAATAACAGGCAGGGAAGGTGGTGCTGCGTGCGACTCCATCAATTTAAACCAACCACCATAACCAAGGCACCACCGCGACGCACTCACCCGCCGCTACCAACATCGCTCCCGGCCTCATCGCGCACGCACGGCTCCCGACGTTGACAGGCACGCCGACCCCTCGCTGCCGCAGACGCCGCCCACGCGCCCTGCCTGCTTGCGCCGCGACGGCCAACGACTCGCGCATCACCGACGGACGGATATATCCGAGGGAGCGGGCGCCCACAGCACGCACTTCTCGCGACCCCGACCACGAGCCCGCCCCCGACCGACCGCCGCACAGCTTGAGAGCGCCAGCCGCTGCGGGGTGCGACGTGCTCGAGGCACTCACCATCGCCGCCATCCGTCCTTGGTGCCTCTGCCACTGCCGCCCGCGAGCAGACCATATCCGCGCATCGGTACACCGCTCGACGTTATCAAGGACCCTCCGGCACGGCACCCGCCCCGCCGCACCGCCGCACCCATGTGGTGGTTCTTCAGCGTCGTGCTGAGCTCCGTCTTCCTCTTCAGCATCGTCCTCTCCATCCCCGTCGTCTTCGATGTCGGCGGTCGCGACAGCGGGCTGGCCTACAGCCTCTCGCTCTTCATCTACTACCTCGCCTACTCGGCCATCCGTCTCGTGACCCCCGACCGCTCCCGCGCCGGCTGGGCCGTCTCCACCACCCTGCGGTTGTCGCAGTGGATCGTCCTCCCGAGCCTCATGATCTGGGCCCTCGGCCAGTTTGCCGTCGATGCCGGCACCACCAACTGGGTCGAGCGGACGCTGGGCGGGCTCTTGCACTCCAAGAGCACGAGCTGGTCCGAGTGGGTCTTTGGCAAGGACGGCCTGCTCGAGACCGTGCTGCTCGGCACCTGGGACAAGGTGCTGCGCTACTCGGGGCCCGGCTTCCAGCTGCTCGAGGGCTTTTGCACCCTGCTCGTCATCCAGGCCGTCGGCCAGATTACGCGCTGGCTTGTCAACCGCGGGCGGAGCGACACCTGGGTCGTGAGTCTGACGCAAAGCCACAGAATACAGAATAAAGCCCGAGGCTAACTTGTGTGCAGATCATCCTGCTCGCCTTCTCTGGCTCCATCATTGCGAGCGCCGTCTACTTTCTCTGGCGGGTCGCCCAGTTCCCCCAGATTAGCAACATCGACGCCACTCTCATTGGCGCGACCATGACCACGGCCGTCTTTCTGTGCGCCTACGGCATCGGCAGCGGGCGCGGGAGTCCCGTCGAGAGCTCGCTTCTGTTTGCCTACGTCGTGCTCTGCGTCTACCAGATATTCACCGACTATCTGCCCTCGGACGGCACGAGCGGCGCCGACGAGGGAGCCACGCAGCCCGAAATCCCCCCGCTGCCGCCCATCATCATGGCCTCGTACTCGACGCTGCTCCACATCCTGGGGTCGCTCCCATCTGCCATCCACTCCTCCCTCACGCTCCTCTACGCCGCCTTCCAGACCATCACGCCGTCCGTCATCATCTCTCTCGCGTACCGCCTGCTCGTCTTCTACTCGGCGACACGCATCATCCCGTCGGTGCGTGACCTGGGTGCGCGCGCGCTGATGCAGGAGCCGGATCTGGAGGACTCCGAGACGGCCAACAAGGTGCTCGGCATCCTCAGCTGGTTCTCGCCATCCATCCTGGTGGCCGTGTACACGAGCCTTCTGCTGCAGCACTTTTCCACAAGCGACGGCCCCGACGGCTGGACGCTCCGCGGTGGCGACGTGGGCGGCAGCACCTGGCGCTGGATCAACGTCGGCCTTACCATGGTCCTCTACGGGGTCGAGTTATATCTCGGCACCGATGACCAGGACCACTGGAAGGTGGACTAGTCGATGCTTCGGAAGCACGCCCATGTGGCGGCGCTTTTCTATGTTGTTCACTGGCAATCGTCACGAATGACCATGTGCCATTACCATCTACAATACGCCGGACACAGAAAAGAGCGGCCCCTGGCCTGGGAATAACTGCAAGGACAACGGGAATAAGAAAGAACAGATACTACTAGCATGGTTTGTCACGGGCCACGATGCGCTTCGCATTGGCGGCTATGGCGGGCGGCAACAGTCGCGGGTTGGCGTTCGGGTAGGCAAGCGTGCTGCAACTTGTCTTGGGAGCATTGCGATACTGATATGATTTCATTTGTCGGTCTATCCTGTATGGTTCTGCCTGCGGTGAAGAGGATGGATGGGAGAGTCGGCGAGTTCGAGTTGGGAAGGGCGGTGTGAGGTTGTTGTTCGACCGCAACCTCGGTGACGAAGCCGTTGGGCAGCTGCGTGGTGTGGAGGAGTAGTGGCACCACAGACTTCCAGAAAAGGTCTTCAAGTACATAATTACCGATCTTATTCAACCACAAGAGATACCCTTGAATCAAGAGTTCTACGTCGTTTGAGGGCAAGGCCGCGTGTAAGTGCGGTTTCTCGGTGGGACTACCCTGCACCCCGCACAAGACTGGCCTTCAACGCAAGTCATCACACCATCGCACACCCTCATCTTCGTTTTCCACACTTACACCCCCCGTCGCTCGCATCACCCATCATTGGAAGCCCACGATCGTCCGTCACAGCCCGGGCGCGCCATGGCAGACACGTACTCCACCAAGGGCCTCCCGCCCGCGCCCGCCGTCTCCATGAAGACGATCCCCATGGCCGGCCTGCTCGTCGACGTGTACGGGCTCGACGAGTTACCTGCGGACATGTCCGCGCCGGTGACGTGCCTGTGGCTGCTGCACCCGCGGACGCGCACGAGGGCGCGCATGGCGGATATTGCCAAGCGAGCGGTTCACGCATGGAACTCGGCGCAGCAGCAGTCGCGGCAAGATGCCTCCTCCAGCCCCGGCAACAGCGCGAGCAACACCACCACACCGAGGCCCTCATCCTCCGCCACCACCACCACCGCACGCGGGCTCATCGCGCTGGCGTTCGACATGCCCAACCACGGCAGCCGGCTGGTCAGCGAGGCGGCCAACGCGGCGTGGGCGGGGGGCAACGCGCAGCACGCGGTGGACATGGCGGGCGTGGTGCGCGGGGGCGCGGCGGACGTGAGCGCGCTGATGGACCTCGTGGGTGCGTATGTCGGCCGGGGGGATGGTGCGGCGGTGGACGCGCATGTTGCGCTGGGATGGAGCCTGGGCGGGCATGTGGCGTGGCAGAGTGTTGTGGGCGAGGGGCGTCTGGATGCGGCGGTGGTGATTATCGGGTGTCCGGATCTGCTGGGTGAGTTCTTGCTTTACTGTGGCTTCTTGGACGTGTGCGGGCTGTTGTGGATGCGTACTGGGAGGGGGTATGATTTCGAAGAGGCGTGTTGCGTCGGGTGGACAAGGGGCCATGGGAGAGGCATCGTGGGCAGTGAGATGTGCGACGTGATGTACATGTGAGCTGACGATATCACCCTCCAGGCCTCCTGACGGACCGCGCCACCAAAGCCAACCTCGACACGGGCAGCTCGCCCCTCCTCGGAAGCAAGTATCTCCCACCCTCACTCATCGAGTCCCTCTGGCGGCACGACCCCCGCGGCATCCTCTTCGGCAACGCCACCTCCCTTACTCCCACGCCGGTTCCCTCGCCGCCCCTATCGCAGGCCGAGCAGGAGCGTCTTCGCCCACTGCTGGACAGACACCTGCGCGGCAAGAAGCTGCTGCTGTGCTCCGGCGGCGCGGACGAGCTGGTGCCGCACCCGCGGACGGCGCCCCTGGCGGGCCTGCTGGCGGACGCGGCGCGCGGGTGGTACGCCGACGGGGGGCTCGAGATCGCGGATCGGGTGTACGAGGGCGTGGGGCATCACTTTAGCGAGGGGATGGTGAGGGATGCGGTAGAGTTTTTGGTGAGGGTGGTGGGGGAGGGGCCGAGGGTGAGGGAGGCGAGGGCAAGGATGTGATGTGAGAGAGCTCGTGGTATAGGGGCGGTTGATGACGATGGGCGGACAGTGGCACCGGGCTCTGTATGAAGTGTCGTCTATGTACGTAGTCTGTCTGGCTGAGGGAAGATATCACAGCCACGGCCTCCTCGCCTCGTCGACGAGCCTCTCCGCCTCACCCTCGCCCACCGTCTCCAACCCGCCCCTATCCGTCACCTCCCGCTCAAACACCCCCTGCCACGCCGCCCACGCGTTCCTCCCCCTCCTCTTGCCCGCGAGGCTCTCCCCCCTCCCATGCGGATCCTCGCGCCACTCCCTCTCCGCGTTGCGTATCCCGCGCAGCACAGGGTGGTCCTCCCACTCCTGCCCCTCTTGCTGGTGCTGCTGCGGCCGCCGCTGTAGTACTCCATCCTCGTTAGCATCAGCGCCTCTGCGAGCAGCAGCAGCGGCGGCGGCGGCAGAAGGAGAAGCGGAAGGAGAAGCAGAAGCGAGGAGCAAAAGCCGTCCCACGCCCGGCGGGTCCACGCCGACATGCCGCGTCCGCGCCGCGGGGAAGCCCACGGCCGCGACGTGCATCTCCATGCGCGGGCGCTTGAAGGCGTGGCCCACGACGGTGAGCGAGGCGGGCCAGGCGCCGACGCGGGCGCGGAACAGCGTCATGCTGAAGAGCACGTTGGAGAAGGAGTCGAGGGCGCGCTCCTCGAGCAGGATGGTGGTGGTGGTGGGTAGCGCGCCGTCGTGCGACGACGACGACGACGATGACGGCGATGACGGGGAGGAGGAGGACGATGGTAGGTGTCCGAAGTAGGCGTTTTGCGCGGCCACGTTGGCGTAGCTCTGCGCTTCTGAGAGGCGCGTCTCGGGCCTCGTCGCGGCGCTGTTCCGATACGCGTAGACAGTTAGCAATCTATCCATCTATTCATCCATCCATCCGTCTTCCTATCCATCCATTCGTCGCCGCTCGCCCCCAAGAGCGAGCCCGTGGCGATGGTATACCAACTCCCCACGCAGACACCACCGAAGGGGAACAAAAACCCAACTCACCCCGAAAAGACGAGCACCGAGTTTGCCACGTCGTCGGCGTGCGCCCGCACGCCCTCCTCAATGTGCCGCACAAAGGTGGGCGTCTCGCCGGCCTGGAACGGCGCGATGAGCCACTCGGCCTCGTCGTGGCCCGCCGACGGCCCGCCGAGCCAGATGCCGTGGCAGCAGACGACAATGAGGTGCGTCGGCGCCGGCGCCGGCGTTGGGGAAGCCGCCGCTGCCGTCGTCGGCGGCGCGGCGAGGGATGGTAATGATCCTGGCGACATGGTGCCTCCCCCGTCGCGCGGTTGTCAGGGCGGTGTCATACCTCGAGATGGAGGAGTTGCGAAGTTTGAGGTTGGCAAGTACATGTCGAGGTGTGGTGTGGTGGGGTTGCGGCCTCAAAAGTGCGACTTGCTAAACCATTGAGGGGCTGATCCGTTCACAGTTATAAGACGACACTCAACAACGCGCACACCTGCTTACGCTACGCGTGACCGCGTCGTCTCTATAAAGCCTACGCTATCCAATGTACAGTTCATGGTATCTTCAGACGCATTTTCGTACAAGCTCCTCCCCTTCCCTGAGATGGGTGTTGATTATTATACAGCCGGCAGACCTGTTCACAGGCACTTGGCTCGGTCACCGCCTGCCCCCAACTGTCTTTTCGCTGGGAGAGGTCCCCTTGTCGGGCTTTGAGCCTTCGGCCGGCTCGTTGCTTCGTTGTCTCCGTCGTTGGCCCCCGAAGCCTTCGCCTAGGACGTCACGAGATGCCTGCAGAATCTCATTCTCAATGGCCCTGCGCGAGGACGCGGTCGCTGCCTTGGACTCTTGCTCCCGCGCCTCGTCCTCCTCAAACTTTCGAAGGAGTGTCGCTATCCTCCTCTTGGGCTTTTCTGGTCGTCCGAAAATCTCCTCGTGACTCAGATGCTTCTTATCCGGATCCGCAACGTGTCCGCGGATCTTGAACATGGCGCTGTTGTACGCCTTAATATGTTCTTCGTGTCGCCTCTTCAACTCGTCAATGCTCCCACTCAGATGGGACGAGCCCGGCCCACCCGTCCTTTCCGCATCCAAATCGTTTTGGATGCTGGCAATGGCGCTTCGGTACCCATCCGCCTGTTTCTTGTGATGTGCCGCCGTTCGCTGAAGCTCGCGCGTCTGCTCCGAGACGGTGGGAGGCTGCGGCTGGCCCCCCTCCTGGCTTGTTTTGAACGTCGGGTTTCTCAGCGGCGACAGACGCCAGTGCCGTCTTGCCTTTTTATATTCTTGCGCCTCCTCGGCGGTCAGGGCTCTCTGCTGCGACAGTTGAGTATAGTGCCAGAGCTGGGCACGACCGGGTCGCCTCGTACCGATTTTTCTCTGCTGCTCGACGCCTTCGAGCTTGTAAAACTCCCGAATCAGGTACAGACTACCTGTAATGATGACCGGGCCCTCGCCCGCCTTGCTGCATGCCCACCGCACGGCGGAGGCAATGTCGGGCTCGCCGTCATAGAGCTGCGATTCGTTTTTGAGCGCCTCTTTCGCGACGCCTCGTCCCAGATCGGCCGGCGCTGCTGGGGGATCGTTGGGACCTTGGGTGTATTCGACAAACGCGAGGTTATCCTGGGGCCTGAGAAGGGCCTCAATCATCTTGGAGAAAGGCTTCGACTTGCTGGCAGACAGCCCCATGACCCAAGTGATGGGCTGGTCGTCCTTTCGCACCCTCGTCTCGACATGCTTCGCCAAAGCTTCGACCCCGAGCATGTTGTGCGCGCCGTCGACGAGAACGGGCTTTTGACGCAGGCCGTCCGTCAACCCGGAAACGCCAACATATTCCTTCCTCCCAGGCAGGTACGGTTTCATCGACAGCAGCTTGTTGACGTCGATGTCGAGGTGGGGGAACAGATGCCTGAACGCCAGTGTCGCACAGAGCAGGTTTTGCTGCTCGTAATCCTCCAACTTGAACCTGTCTTGGTCCAGTCCTGCGATTAGCGGCAGGGCTTTTGATGACGGGCTTATCTGCGTCCCCACGCTTTGTGCATGCTCTCGCAGGACCCCCAACACCGAGCTAGGATTCGTATGGTCCACAATACACGGAACGCCAGGACGCATGATGCCGGCTTTGACCTTGGCAATCTCCTCGATGGTGTTGCCCAGGTATTCCTGATGATCGAGGTCGATCTTGGAGATGACCGTCACGGACTTTTGCTTCATGGCGTTGGTGGCGTCCGTAGCACCGCCCATGCCCACCTCGACGATGCCGTACTTGACGTGCATCTTGTCGAAGACACGGAAGGCTGCGGCAGTCTCAAGCTCAAAGGGCGTCAAGTCCCCGGGATCCTCGCCCGAGGTGAACCTCCAGCCCGAGGCGACGCGGCGGTAGGCTGCCTCGACGTGCTGAAGCTCCATCTCGTACATGCGCTTGTTCACGTACCGGTCGTTGATGGTGATGGCATTGTGTCTCTCCGGTATGGCGGGGGAAATGAAGGTGCCGTGGCTGATGCCTGAGAGCTTGAACATGCCTGCCAGGAGGGCGCAGATGGATCCTTTGCCATTGGTGCCGCCGACGTGAACACCGGCCCAGCTCTGCTCATCTGGAACGACACGGCTGATACGCTCCAGGCCTAGACGGATGTTGCGATGGTCGGATGCGACCTTTTTCTCGCGAGGCAGGGCGGCCCTGATGCGGGCCAGCGCCCGCTTCACCTCCTTGGCGGATGGCATCGCTGTGGCACATGGAGAGGATACTGCCAGCCGGAAGTTACCTGGAGGGGGCCAAATGGCAGAGGCTCGGGGCGCAATGCCTCATTAGGGCCGGGTATATGAGAGTCGGCTGGTGTTGACTGGTGAGGTTGGGCAGCTTACCTCACCTTCGGTATCATGGAAAGATTTCCTCCAGCAAAAGTGGCTGGTGCCTCAGCCACAGCTGTCGACAGTTGCCGTGGTCGTTTGTTTCAGCCACACCTGACCAGGGACCAAAGGTACCAAGTACCCACCGTGGCATGTCTGCATGGGTGGCTGTCACCTGGTAACAGACCGACACTGAATCACTGCCTGCTGGCGCTAGTGGCAACCTGGCCCAGGTGCCTGAGCGTCGACGCCATTGATCCAAAACTCTGCGGCGCCTCCCCAGATCCAACCCGCCCGCCTCCAACCGCCTCGTCGCCCCCGTTTTCCGTCTTCCTATCCACCCATCCATCCACCGCACCCCGGCTTCTGGTCCTCTCCCCTCGTTCATCATCACCACCTTTGCCGGCGACGCCCTCTCGTCGCCGCTCAGAGCCCCGTGGGTCACTCCTCTCCACTCTTGTCGCCCGGCTTGGTTTTCGTATCGCGGCTTTGGTTTCATTGCCTATTCGCTTCTCTGGCCGTCCTAGCCTGGACCACAGCCGCTCCGTTCGCATCTATTTTCGGATCGCACGAGTCGGCGACTTCGTTCATCGCCCATCACGAAGCCCGCACAGTCTCGATTGCATCAATCCCTTTTCGGGTCGCGTCGGCATTTTGGTGCTTTCCACGGGCTCGTTCGTATTCTCGCGCGGCCGACAAACGTCGAGACGCGCCCAAGTTTCCGTTCACCGTGAACGCGACGTGAAAGCGACTCGACTTTCTGGTCTTGTGCACGCGACGCGCTACACATCGCGGCCGTCCCCCCCCGTCGCGCTCATCATGGGTCTTCCGTGAGTTTTCCCTCTCCCGCGTCTGCCGTCAATCGCAGCGACCCCAACCCGCTCCTCGGCTAGCACTTAAGACTCGCGTCGGCGCGGCCTGTCGACCAAGGGCTGGTTTATCGTTCGGGTCGATGTGCTGCACCGAAGTCTGAAACGCTTGGCCGTGGCTCGCGAACCTGCCGTTCCAGAAATAACGACTTTACGTTTCGAAACGGAGAGCCTTGGCCTTCTACCCCGAATTCGCATGCTGATGTCAGGCCCCTTCGCACAGACTTTTCGTTGCGCCAGTCGAGTCGGATCTTCCATCCAAGGCCGCCAACAAGCATGGCGCAGCGTCTCCCCCTCGATCAGGCATCCGACGTCTGCGCACCGATTCCAGTGAGCGGCGACAAGCACGCACAGCTCACGTTCGAATATATGGTGCTGCTCCTCCACGTCTGCCCCGCTCGAACCCGGACGGCTTCATGCCTTGGGCCGAATCCCCTGGCCCATTGGATACAACCTCGTCCGAATTAGCACCACAACAGAGGCCGACACTCCGGGAGTTTCGCGAAGCGCGACTTGGCCGACCTTGGGCCAACGGCTTACGGGGCAGACGGGCCTTCGAGGCCCAGGTAGACGCTCAGGCGGAAGCCCAGCCCGAGGCCCAGGTTAACACCATCTTTGGTCTTGAGGTCGGCGGCCAGCCTCTAGCCCAGCGAGAGGCGGAATTACGGGATGCGGAGCAACGCTTCTGGCCTACCGATGTCGGACGGCACGCGCGAGCCCGATTTGTGAGTCGTGATCCGGCGAGAGCCCGACGCTATAGGCCCTTCGCGTCAAGCGTGACCGCTTGGCGGCAGTTTGCTGACACCCAGGAAAGGGTATGGCGTATCAGCGCCACCGAGGATACGACTTTCGGTCGCCTCAGCGCACCCCGGGAGCTACAGACGACCTGGGCAGGACAGGCGGGTCTGTCCTACCTCCAAGCGCTCGATCTTCTTCCCCACGGTACAACTCGCGACTTCTGCGAAGCTCGCGGGAGCGGCGAAGCGCCATAGCCCGCAACGTGTTCGGCCTAGATGGTCTCGGCGACCGCGAGCGCAGCCTCAGCCCAGAGGTATGGGATACGCTCCTTACGACCCTGACTCCCGACCCCCAGCCGCCCAGCGCCGGCTCCTCCTTTGCCTCAGTTGCCGCTTCGCAGAGCCAAAGCGCTGGGCCGTCGTCGAGCACTCCTACCTCGGCCCCTGATATTGTCGATGGACCCGCAGTGGATGCTCAGTGCGACTCTGACTGCGGCCACTCTGACGCGGATATGGACGAGGACGAGGAGAACAATCATGTCGCGAGCATGCGCCTACAGTTGCTACGGGCACGGAATGAGCCACGACAGACAAACCCGTACAGCCTTGACAGCATCGTGAACGGGTCTGGAGGTCATCTGGAAGCTGAGCAGCCTCAGAGAAGCAGCAGCAGCAACAATAACGGCTTGGGCGTACCGCTTGGAGATCTGTTCATGAACAACTCTGACGACGTGCCTCGCCCCCCGGCCAGCATCGCCAGAATTCTACGCCAGCGCGAGCAAATGGCACAACCTTACCAGTCGCGAGGTCAGCCGGTTCAGCATGATGGCCCCGAGCGCGCGTTGATGGTGGACGGCGTGCGGCCTGAAGGAGAAGAGTCGCCGATGCCACGCCAAGGCAATGGGGCGTCGGGTGCGACGTCGGGGGCCACATCGGGTGGCGAAGAAGACTGGTCGGGCATGCAGCGTATCGTGCGCAGCCTCGCCCGACGTGAGGACATCCCAGACGAGTGGTGGGCCCAGGTCGGGCTCAGCCGGACTCTGCCCCAAGACGAGACGACAAATGAGTAGGACACTTTGTCTCAGCAATTGGGGTTGTCGGTGCTCCTCGGCCACGGCTAACAGGTAGCAATGAGCAAGATGAGAGCGTATGGGAGACACAGAAGATAGAGGGACGACTTGTACAACTGTGTATTGGGCGATCATATTCCGGTGCTGAATGGCAGCATCCGGCGGCGTTTTTGGTCTTGGCAGCAAAAGACTGCTTGAGCCTGGAGTCTGGGACGGTAACCCCTGAGGAGGTTGCAATCAGTTTGATAGGGCTGAGACCTGGATTTGCTTTTTGAGCACGGGCATGCAGCGATGCCTTGGACGATTGGTACGAAGTACATAGCAACAGAGACCCTTGATGGGCATCAGTTCATGTTGGACGCCCTGTTCATGCGTGTGCCGAACGTGTGCGAGCATGATAATGCAGGTCGCTTTGATGATGGTTGGTCAGGGCATCCCGACGCGGGAAGCTGCACGGAGCACGTGCCAAATGTCTCTCGTATTGACAGAGGTGCGTCACGCAAGTGTACGAGCCGCCGCGTGCAAGCCAATGGCATGGTATGCGCCGAGACGGGTGCTGTGTTTTGCGTTCCAACGGCGCCGCGGGTCAGGAGGACAGTTGCTGTTCCTGGCGGACCGCTGTCGTGGAGCCCATGGAATTGATGGACGATTCTTCGACCCCGTAAGGACATGCCCCCTAATTAGGGTCGCTACAGCGTATTGTTGGGGTACCTATCGTACAACCCGCCAGACAGGCGGGGGATTTGCTGGGCGCCGTGCCCGCAGAGGCATGCGGCGTGCAGCATGCAGCGTGCAGCAGCCGCTGAGGATCTCTGCCGGCCGGTGGCGCGGCCACTGTCGAACGCAGAGGCCAGCGCATCAACATCAACAGTTGAGATGCATGGTGGAAGTCGACGGGATGCATGCGCCGCCTGACGATGTCCTGTCCTGTCTTCCATGGAACGAAGTCGAGTGGTCTCGCCTCCCGGTGCGGATCCGCCCAGAGCAACACCGGCTTCCAGATCCTAAGTTAATTACCCACTCCACCTTTACCTTTGACCTCCAGGGCTCTGCCTTCAGCTCGCTGAGCACTGGCATTGGAACCTTCCCATACAGGCGTCCGCTGCCCCGCACTCCACTGTGTCTCCACTGATGTCGGGTGCCCGCCAGCCGAGCTGGGCAGCAGCCCAGGGCACCCGGCCAGCGCTGGCCAGTCGATGGGTGGAAAATGACGGGCGGCGTCTCAGGCCTTGTTCAGGGCCCTCAGGTACCAGGGAAGCGCCATTGGCACCTGACGTCCCACCAGCGCCAACGCCCAGCTGCGGCCAGACCACCGCCATTGACGCCGACATCACCGCCACGGGGGGGGCCGCCAGCCAGCTGTTTCACACTCGACGCACTGCTTCCCTTTCCTCCATCCCTCCGTCTGTCGTTTTTTTGCCCTTGGTCCCGTCGTGCTGCCGCCGAGTCTTGTCGGACATCGCCCCTTTCATCACCAAGCTTGGTCCCTCGGCCTTCGCGCGCAGCTGCAGTCAAGCTCGCGGCCCTTGTCTGTTTCCCACGGGAATCCCCTCAGCCAAACCATAACCCACCCCGCTGTCGGTTGAACGAACCGCGCATGAACGCCTGGTGACCCTCGTCATCGCAATACGAGTTTCACGCACCCCCGGCCTTCGCTTCGAAACGCCGTCCCTTCGATCTGCCGACGCCGCCCTCGCTGCGACAAACCGATACGAGCGAACGTCGCCAGAACATCGACGTCTTCGGAAACACGATCGAGTCTTGAGACCAACGCTCCCTGGGCTGCCCGACGGGCGGATGCGTGCCACCTCGCCGATCCCAAGCGCACCGCCGCCGGCGATGCGACGAACGTCTCCTTCGACACTCGCCTCCGCCCTCACCTTCCCTCTTGCCGCGCTCCTCGCCGCCACACGGTAGACGCAGCGGGCTCGCATACGCCGGCAAGGGCGCGACGCAAACAAGAGCGATGCCGGGCGACCGGCACATTCACTCCAGCAATGGCCGAGCTGCTCCCGCTGCCGTCGCGGCCGTTGCGGCCTCGAGAGAACGCGGCACGCCTGGCACGCCCTCCCGCAAGGAGCGGCCGCCGCGGGAGAGCTCGGCGGTGCAGGACCCAGGGCTGAAAGACTACGTACGTATCATGATCACTCCTCCCCGCCCCTTCGTGCAGCCGACACCCTTGTCCCGGTCTCGCCCGCGTCCTCAGAGGCCTGCGCGCCCATGCGAGACAAGATGCTGCCATGGGAAGCAGCCGCGGCTGTTGTTGTACGAGAATGCTGACTCTTGCGTGCAGAGGCTGGGCGAGTGTCTCGGCAAGGGCGCCTTCGGGTCCGTGTACAAGGCTTTCAACTGGAGCACCGGCGAGGCCGTCGCGGTGAAGCAAATCAAGCTCGCGGACCTTCCCAAGAGCGAGCTACGCATGATCGAGGTACGTAGCTTGCTTGTGCAGGGGGGCTGCCAAAGCCATCATGTGCTGACGTTGTTGTACAGAGCGAAATCGATCTGCTTAAGAACCTATTGGTAAGGATTCGTGAATACCCAGCCCTTTCTGAATGCTGTGCTGACCGGGCCTGCAGCATGACAACATTGTCAAGTACATTGGCTTTGTCAAGTCGACGGACTGCCTCAACATCATCCTGGAGTAAGTTGCAGCCCGTTCCTCGAATCAGGGCGGCGAGACTAACGATGACAGGTATTGCGAGAATGGCTCTCTCCACTCGATATTGAAAGCGTATGGAAAGTTTCCAGAAAACCTGGTCGGGGTGTACATGACCCAAGTCCTGCAGGGCCTCCAATACCTCCACGACCAGGGTGTCATCCACCGCGACATCAAGGGCGCCAACATCCTCACCACAAAGGATGGCACCGTCAAGCTGGCCGACTTTGGCGTCTCAACGAGTACACTAGCTGGCGGCCAGGACAAGGAGGCCCAGGTAGTGGGAACGCCGTACTGGATGGCGCCCGAGATCATTCAGCTGTCTGGCGCAAGCTCAGCTTCGGATATATGGAGCGTTGGGTGCACCGTCATTGAGCTGCTGCAGGGAAAGCCCCCGTACCACAACTTGGCAGCCATGCCTGCGCTTTTCGCCATTGTCAACGACGACCATCCCCCGCTTCCTGAAGGCATATCAGCGGTAAGCCCACCCTTGTCCATGCATGCGCGAGGCGCCACAAGCTAAACGTCATAGGCCGCCCGGGACTTTCTTATGCAATGCTTCCAAAAAGACCCCAACCTGAGAGTCACCGCCAGGAAGCTGCTCCGGCATGCCTGGATCGCAGGCTCGCGGCGGGCCGAAGCACCGGTTTCGAAGGCGCCCGCCAACTTCAACCAAGCCGTCGAGGAAGTCAAGCAGTGGAACAAGGCCCTCAACTCCGACTCCAACCTCCGCACCTCTACCGGGTCCGACTTTATGGGGCCTTCGTCACGATTTACCGGGGGAACACCAGCAAGAGGCCCGCTTAGCCTCGCCAAGTCCAGGCCCAGTGCTGAAGCATTCAAATCCGCGGAAGTCGCCGGTAAGCTCCACCATCTGAAAGTATCGCTGTGGACCACCACAGCATCTTTCGCCCGGTCATTCATTAACAAGCGACTAATCGTATTGCAGATGATGACAACTGGGACGATGACTTCGCCACGGCAATCTCTCCCAGTGCCCTCCAGCTACCCCATCTCAAGCCCCAAGATAACTTTGGTGGTCTTCTCTCGAGCGACAAACTGAAAGCTTTTGCGTCCTCTAGTGACGGACGGACAGACAGCAGTAACTATGACGACGACTTTGAAGGGGAACTATTGACCATCAAAGGGCCAAGCTCTCGCTACCGCGATCTCGATTCGCAAGAACACACGATTCGGCCGATTCCAAAGAAGACGGCCCCGAAGGCAGCGGAAACCCCCAAGCATCACCGTACCAAATCAAGCTCTGGGAAGCAGCCGCTAGCCGTCCTCCCTGGCCCATCTGCGTCGAGATCGCCGCCGAAATCGCATTTGGGCAGCATATTCGAGTTGCCAACGAGGCCGGACCTTGGTTACCGCGAGCAGAGCACTGATGATTACTCGGATCTGTTCGTGGACAATGACAGTGTTTTTGGCCGGGGAGTAAATCAGGCTGTCAATAAGGTTTGTAGGCACCGCGACGCCGGGAGTACCATGCTCACCTACTCTCAGGGCGCACGAGCAACTGATGCTCCCCAGCTCTTCCACCCGTCCGACCTCACCAGTTTGCCACGATCCATGCAAGCGCCCGACGGCAGCATAAGGAAAAAGTCGCAATCGAGGCCTTCTGTTCTTCCGGACCGCCCTATGCGACGCACTCGCTCGTCCATCGAGATCCAGAAGTTTGCAGAAGACGATGACGAAGACTTCTCAGACGTCTTCGGCGCAAGCGAATCTCACGGCGAAAAGGAAGAGAGCGAGCGCGGCTCTGAAGATGGCGGCCTCATGCTCATGTCCAAGATGTCGAGCAGCTCATGGCTAGGGGATGACGAAGACGAATTCGACCCGTTTGCGTCTATGGACCCCGGCTGGGACGAGATGGACCTCGAGGCAAACATCGCCAGAGACAGGCATGCCCGGCTGGCAGAGCGAGTCGAAGACCTGGTGGCCTCGTTGAAGACGACGGAGGGTGAGGATATGCTATCCGAGTTGTCGGAAGATTTGGTAAGTTGTCATCTTCTTAACCTCTGCACGTCTCACCCTTGGCTGACCATGCATGCAGCTGGCGCTCCTCTGGGAACACAAAGAGGTGAAGACGCTCATCATCAGCGCACACGGTCTGTTACCAATCCTGGAGATTCTGGAGCCTTGTACCGTGAAAAGCCGACAGTACATGATTCTACAGCTTCTCAAGGTCGTCAATGCCATTATACTCGATGACGTCGAGATCCAGGAGAACCTCTGCTTCGTCGGCGGCATTCCCATTATTACCAAGTTTGCGGCACGCCAATACTCGGACGAGATTCGACTGGAGGCGGCGGCGTTTGTCCGACAAATGTACCAGACATCGACCTTGACCCTTCAAATGTTCGTGTCCGCGGGCGGGCTGAACGTTTTGGTCGAGTTTCTGGACGAGGACTATGACAGTGCACGCGACCTTGTGCTGATCGGTGTCAACGGCATTTGGAACGTGTTTGAGCTACAAGGGCCGACGCCGAAGAATGACTTCTGCAGGATCTTCTCAAGAAGCAAGATCCTCTACCCCTTAGCCCTGGTATTACACCGTGTGCTGGACGAGGAAGGGGAGGACGAGTTGGGCGAGCTCATAGAGGGGCGTATCGTCAACATCTTTTACCTGTTCAGCCAGGCCGAGAATTACGTCAAGGAAATGGTGGCCGACAGACAGGTGCTGAAAAGCGTCCTCAAAGACCTGAGACGGATGACGCCGGTGCACCAAATCACCATGCTCAAGTTCATCAAGAACTTGTCGATGCTGTCGACGACCATCGAGTCGCTCCACTCGGCAGACGCTATCGAGTTCCTCATCGACCTCCTCAGCTATAGCATGAAGAAGGACCAGAAGCACTTCAGGGAGATCTCGAACCAGGTTCTCAACACTCTGTTCAACCTGTGCCGACTCAGCAAGGAGAGGCAGGAGGACGCGGCCGTCGGAGGCATCATCCCGCTACTGCTGAGGATCATGAAGACGGACCGACCACCTAAGGAGTTTGCCCTGCCGATATTGTGCGACATGGCCCACTCGGGATCCAAGGGGCGAAGATACCTGTGGCAGAACAAGGGGCTTGCGTTCTACGTGTCCTTGCTGACGGACCAGTACTGGCAGGTGACGGCCCTGGATGCCATTCTGGTGTGGCTGCAGGAGGAGACGGCAAATGTCGAGAGCCACCTCGTCGATGGGCACTTTACGAGGGCCATTGTCAGCTGCTTCGGCACGAACCGGGTAAACGCGTTTGACTCGAACCTGCTCGAGCCACTGCTCAAGCTGCTCCGTCTCAGCCCGTCGGTCGCGGCCTCGCTGGCGAAGCCGGAGATGTTTGCGGGCATTGCCCAGAGACTGGGGCACAAGAAGGCCGTCGTGCGATTGAACCTCCTGAGGCTGGTACGAACCATCATGGACTCGTGCGAGCCGGGCCTGGGCGCGGGAGACGGCTCACGGACGCTCAACAACGCGCAAATCAGGTCGCTCATGAACTCGATACAGACGCTGGCCGAGACGGACACGGCCGTGCTGGTGCGAAACCTGGCCGCAGAACTGCTGCGCTCTCACATAGAGATGGACTCCAGCGTGGGACACCTCTTGCGTCACGACGGCCCGTCCGCGGCGCAGGTCAGCTCGGCGTCGTCCTCGGCCAGGAGGTCTGCCTCGCGGCGGAACACTAGCTATACTCCGCCGAGCTTCCAGTCCTCCGTGTCGATGCCCCAGACGCCCACTGGCCGAACCAGGCAGAGCGTCGTCGCGGGCAACGCCTACATCGAAGTCGCCGCCAGCCCCCGCCGCAGCAACACGACGCTCGACCGCGAGTCCCTCATGTACCGGCCGCGCAGCCGCGACGGCCCCACCCACATCCCGCGGCGCGTGAGCGGCGACGCGAGCTCCCTCGGCGGCGGCAGCAGCAGCAGCGGCACCACCGCGTCCGCCGGGGCTAAGAGCCGGCTGCCGCGCACCTCGCTGGCGCCCATGGGCATCCACTCGTCGGGCCGGCACCCGGGATCCAGCGGCGCCGCCAGGGCGGCCGAGCAGCATACGCCGCACCATCACCCCGTCATGACACCCATGGTGGTACGCAGCGAGAGCAGCACCAGCAACAAGGAGAATGGGGGCAGCAGGGCACTACGCGAGGGTGGCATGGCCATGTCCGCCAGAGACAGGGATGGTGTCGCCACGCCCAGCGCTTCGGCCGCCAAGTCCCGTCGCAACATGGACAACAACAATAAGTGGTGAGTGAGGGATTCCACGGACCGTCAACGCGCCTTGTCTGCGCGGTTGCGGCTGCGTGCAGCAAGAGCCGCTCTTTCCATACATTCATGCAACGACGACGTACCTGCCCGACCAACCACACAGGCTACATCTAATCAATCACCCCCAAATATGTCTGTCTCCCTCCGCCTTCTCCTCTGCCACCAACAGCACACACTCCGACACACACTCGACCGCACCAACAAACAATGTATATACAAGAATCAGGAATCTTTGCCTCGCCGCTCCCCCTCCTTCCCCCCTGCCCCCTCCTCCTCCGTCCTCGACGCCCTGGCTATAGTCCCAATTCATTATGAACGAAGTGCCGGAGACGGGGGCCAGCCAGAGTCGTCGTCGGGCGGGCGAGCGGGTAATAAAACGACATGCGGGTTTGGCGTGTAAGTCGTATGTTTGGGATACTCGCGGGAGGTTAAGTAGGCGGTGGAGAGAGAGAGAGAGAGAGACACACACACAGAGATGGCAAGCAAGGAGTCAAGTTACACAGCGAAGCAAAAAAGCATGGAGCGAGCAACACGAATGTACGCACTCGGATTGATTTGATCTGGTAAAAAGGAGCGGGCTGGCTGCTACGGCGGACATGGATGGGGCTACGTTGCTATCTCGGTGCGGCATCATGGGGCATGGTTTGGTATGGGAGTAGACGGACGGCATTGCCTTGGGCTTGTTCATGTTATAATTCAACTGCGGCTTTTGGCCGCTACCCTACACTCTTGTTCTTCTCCATGAGCCTACTGAGAGAACGGACGACGTCCTCCCTGTTGCTCGCTACATGACCGGTCTCACAGCATACGACACACCATGAATACGGCAACCAATTTGTATTGTGCCATGTCCTAAGCTATTCCTATCGAGGCCCGTATCCTCACGCAGACCACGGGCCAAATCGGCCCTTCATGCAGTCCTGTATCCATACCGTGCATAGCCCCGTGCCCGCGTCCCTGTCATCGGCAGGCCACGCTGCGCAACGACATCACCCACCGCGCTTCGAGAACGACGAGCGGACGCGAGGCGGGACCAGTGAGTGCTCCCTCCAGGAAGGATACACAACGATGGGGACCGCAGCGGAGAGTTCCGCCTGTTGACGTCGGGAGTAAAGGAATGGCATCCCTCCACACAAGTCTGCGTTTCCAGGTCCCCCTCGAGGAGACGACAGACGAGCGCCCAAAACTGACCAAAGCAATTAATATGTTTTTTTTCTGTTTTGCTCCATGCAAAGTGGTATGGTATAATCGTGTCCCACCACCTCTCCATTTCGCCGTCCGTCACCAGAGTAACCGCTTTCACCTTCTAAAGCGTGATGAATATGCTGCAGGGGCATGCCCCTAGCATGTCGTGGCCAAATTAAAGTCGTTGTTGTTAAGGAGAGACTGAGAAGAGAATTATTGGTCCTGGGGTAGTATGACGTTGACCACGGGCCACCGTTGTCCAAGCTGCCACGAGGCAGGGTTCGCCGGAGACACCGCAAACGAGCCAGGAACCAGACATCAAGACCGTGTCGAGAAATGCAAATCCGCCTGTCCGAGCAATCATGTCACAGAGTCCGGGCGCGTAAAGTCGTAAAAAGTGAAAAGCGTGAAGAAGAAGATTGAGACAGAGTCCACCGTGTTTAAGCAGTCGGGCCGGCCTTGCGTCGCTCGACGCTCGTCAGGACGAGGCGCGAGGGCTTGCGCTGACTGTCAGCGGCCTCCTGAGCCTTGGACGCACGCAGAGCGCCGTTCTTAAACACGTCGGCAAACGAGCTGCTGTCGGACTCGGACGTCGGCACGCCGCCGTTGCTGTTGATGCTGTCGACGCTGCCGCGGGCCTTCTGACGCGAGCTCGGCCTGTCTGAGCCAATGGCTCCCCAGCTGCCGCTAGCAGATGTGCGGGAGCTGGCACACTCCAACTCGCCGGCAAGGCTGCCCGAGCCGCTACGCCCGGAGTCAGACTCGTTGTCGGTGATGGGGGTGATGGATTCCTCGGCCGTCTCCGAGACGGGGCTCATGCTGCCAACAGAGCTGCCAGTGCCCTTGCGACGCTCCAGGCCCGCGCGAACGAGGTTGTGCACGGCAGATCGCCTGGTCCGAGTGGCAAAGTTCTTGCTGCCTTCGTGTTTGGCGGTGGGCTTCGCCTTGAGCTCATCCAACGAAGGTGGGCCTCGAGGCTGTCGGATCGGGTGCTCGCCGGCCCGGCCCTGACCAGGGCCGTAACCCCCAGTCATCGGTGTCAGTGGGAAAGACGCCGTCTTGGGGCCAGCGGACTTGGGTGCGTCCGCAACGCCACCGGCGGCAGCCAGAGCGCTGTTGACGGGAGCGAGAGACGACGCCTTCTTGTGGCCGCGGCGGAACGCGTTGGCCGAAGGCGGGGGCAACGGGGCGACATCGGAAGGCGAGTCGAAGCGCTTCGGAGGCGAGGTGGTACGGAACGACTGCTGGTTCTCGGGAGGCGGCGAGACCTGAACGCGGGGAGTGGCCTGCTGCTGATGATACAGCTGTTGCTGCTGCTGCTGCTGCTGAAATGTGTTGAACGCGGGCGACATGGGCTGCTCAGCGTACGGCGAGGCGACCTGCGAGATAGCCGAGGTATCGACGTAATACTGGCCCGTGGCCGCGTTGTAGTACACCTGCTGGCCCTGGCTCATGGCCGCCTGCACGCTGAGCTGTTGCTGCATGTTCCTCAGCTGCTGCTGCTGCTCGTAAATGGCCATCTGCTGCTGCGTGAGTTGAGGGCTGTTGAGGTTCAGCTGTTGGAACTGCTGAGCGGCAGCCTGGACGGTCCTAAGCTGCGCCTGGAGCTGCCGCTGTTGCTGCGCCAGGTAGCAGTTGGTGGCAACCAGCTGGGCGTACAAGGTCGGGTCCTCCTCATTGATGTGGACGGAAGGGGGCGTCAGAACCTGTTCGACGGTGTACTGCTGCTGCAACTGCTGAAGCTGCTGGTGCTGCAGCTGGCCCATCATGCCCTGGATGCCGCTCTGCTGCATGCTGCTCTGCTGGACGCCGTACTGAGGGAAGGCCGTCTTAGGAGCATTGTACATGGAATCCTGGCCGTTACCGTAACCAGAGAGATTGGCCGCCATGCTGTTCCTGGCGTGCTGCTGCGCGGAGAGGCCATTGTTGGGGGCGCCCGAACCAAACGAGGCGGCAGTGGCCGATTTGGGAGCGGTTCTGAGGCCCGCCAGTAAATGGGATCGGCTCGTACGAGGAGTCGGAGCGCCGCCGTCCTTAACGTTGGCGTTGCCCTGCTTGATGGCGTCGAACGACAGGGGCTTGATGTTCTGACCACCTCGACGGGAAGCCAGGCCGCCCGACGGCATAGGCAGGCCGTTGTGGGAAGCGAAGTTGTTGGCAGACATCTGAGCGAGACTGCCTGCGTCCATGGCTCAGGGAGACTGACAGAAGATGGAGTCGCTTCGGGTTGAGAAAATGTGAGGGGCGAGGCTCGAGAAGAGTATTAAGAATGAACGTCGGTCAAGGCCCCGAGGCAGTGACACGATTAAAAACAGATAACAGTCGTCAAGACAGGCGACCTAAGAATGCGCCGGTTGGTTCCGAACGGAGACGATACGGCGATGCTCTCAAGCTTACCAGAGAAGCTGAAAATGAGGAGTCGACGGGCGAGTGATCGTCGTCGGAACAACCAGAAAGACGAGGAATGGGATCCAAGAAAGCCGGGATAGCTGCGCACAGCAAAAGAGAAATATCCGTGGGGGCTTCAAAAGTAAATGTAAAGACAAGATTAGATGAAGAATATGTCCTGGCAGGCGTCGCGACAAGGCAGACGTCCGTTGGGGGAGTGATGCAGGCGGCCGGCGGCGAGATGGCCGGCGGAAAGAGCGTCGAGCGTTGATGAAAACGAAATGGTGATTGCTCGCAGTCGGAAAGCGACAGCAGAGTCAGGTGATGAACGATGTCGAGAGAGCAGGCACTCGTGAGGCTGCCGCGGTGCGAGATTGCCGGGGTGGAGTTGCCGAGGGCGAGATGCTGGCTCAAGCCTGCTCAACAGAGGGATGCTTCCGAGATTGCAGCGATAACTAGGCGGCAGTCACTTCTCTGGGTCACTTCCGGTGCACGGGTCGTGATGGCGGCGTCTTTGGGAGACAGTCGTTCAACCGAGGGCGAAGATGAAGAAAGTACCGGTCCAAACAGCGCGTTCTTTCCGTTCCACGGGGTCGCGCTTTCGTCACCCTGATGGGGGTTTTATCTTGTTCGATCGGTCCCCTTGATCAGCGGTCGGGGTTGGCTTCCTCGTGTGTGCAGGCTGCTCAGGCGAAGATGGCTCTCGTGATTGTGGGTTCGGTCGACGATGGAGACGGTCAAATTACAAAAAGGCTGACGAGTAACGCTTGGGGTTGGGTCCGTCGAAGACAAGGAGCGGCCGATTTGACGAAGGAAGAATAAAGTACAGTCGACAGATGCCGAGGTCACCGGATGATGCTGAGCTGAGCTGGGTCTCTCAGAGCTTCCTACTCGACGCGTTGTCCCCCCTGGCGTTGCGGAAATGCAGTCTGTTGGGTACCCGTGGGTGCTGGTGCTGTTGTGGCGACGGGTGGCGAAGAAGCGATGCACGCGCGAACGAGGACGAACGACTCGCGGACGAGGTTGACTGAAGGAAGAGCGAACCAGGCGACGAAGGGGGGAGGATGCGAGGAAGAGAGCGAGGGGAGGAGGGCGGTGTACGACGAACGGACAGGGAGATGCAAAGAGGACGGAGGAGGAGAGAGGGTGATGGTGGTTGTGGAGTGAGGGCGGAAGGAGAAGAAAGAAAGAAAAAAGGGCCACCAGTGAGAGGCGGCGGCGAGGGTGGTGGCGGAGAGTGCAGCAGCAGAGTGGGCGGCGGGCATTGATTGAATGGAGAGCAAGAGGGTGGAGGCGGCGGCGTCGGCGGCGGCGGCAGCGGTAGGTGGTGGATGGAGCGCGCCCAGCACAGCACATGGAGCACGGCAGTACGAGGGCCCCGTATGGAACCTGGAAGGCAAGGTACTGTGCCGCGGGCACCAAGCACGCTGTGTGGGCGGGCTGCCCGCGCGGCACAGCACAGCACACAGCGGGTGCGATACGGGGCTAGTACAGTGCAAAACCAGTGTGGCAGCAGCCCGGCGGCCACCAGCAGCAACAATGGAAGGCGCCCGCCCGGGAGCGATGGATGGATGGCTGGCCCCGACGCACTTGTGGAGAGACACGCAGCAAGGCACTCCCGTCCAGAGGCACTCGCGCCAGGCCTCAGCGGGCGGACACAGGTGGACTGGACCCGTGGACCGTTCCCCTGAGGCACGCCGCTGATGCTGATGGCGGCAGACCAGGGTCCTGCTGCGCTGTTTTTAGCGGAGCCCCGTGGGCGAGTAAGGGTGCTGCAGCACGGGCAGAGGCGCTGAGAGGCTGCGGTGGCGGGCCCTTGGGTGGCGACGCCGCGGCCAATGGCGACGCGCCAGGCGCCCGCAAGCCGAGCAGCGCCAGGGCGGCTGGCCAATCAGCCGACGTGACAACCTAGCGTCGGCGGGGCACCGTTCGTTGCCAATCTGCTAACCCCCAATCAGGGGACCTGGCGGGCCGAAGGATCAGACACGTAGCGACTACCTGTGCCTGACGCAGTGGTGCCTGTCGCGGCTCTGGTAGACTCTACTGGAGTCTTATGCGGGCAATCTGCCCGTGACTCGGCTCGACGCGACTCGACTCGACTCGCCTCGAATGAATGGCCCCCCTTCAATGCCCCCCTCTCGCCTGAGGGCTGCGCTGCAATGCCTTTTGGGATGGGTGGCTGGGGGAAGCACCCGCAGCAGCAGACTGCACCAGCACCAGCACCACCTGCAGCAGCCCCAACAGTGTCCAGCGCCCGAGGCCCAGCATGCCAGGCTCCAACAGGGGGTGCCAGCCCGTAAGCCCAATCATGCCCGCCCGGCGTTGCAGGCCGGCCGACCGATCGCCCGTCCACCTGCGACAGCGCATCGCATCACTCACAGGTCAGCGACCCAACAAGGCCATTGCTTGCATCGTCGTTGTGCATGGCATGATATGCAGGCGGTGAGTCTATCCCAAGTAACAGCGTCGTCGCCCGGGCCACGACGGGAGCCAGCATGACGAAGCTCTCGAGTCTGGTGCATCGTCGAAAAGATCCGCTTTGTTCCGGAACGCCGTCCGTGTCCTGCGAAGAAAAAGCCAGCAACCGCAGACAGTGGACCGTCGTCGATGGCAGTGGTCACCTCACAATGCAGCCGCCCATTTTTAGCCACGGCAAGGGGGCAATCTCCGGAAGACAGCAAGCCCCCCAGAAGCCAACATCGTGTTCGCAGGCGCCACCATGGGGGCTCCAGAATCCAGATGCTCCACGCCCACGGCTGTGGCGAGACGGACCTCTCGCCGATGCCCGTGCTGCTGTCGAAACAGTCCAAGTTCAAGTCTTGCGTGGCCCTCCTGCGACTTGATGATGCCGTTCCGGGTCTCTCGATTTATGCCCTGGCCACGGCATCGCCAACGCGTTTCACGGGCATGCCGCGAGGGCAGGGTCAATGCCAAAGGCGTGCCGGATTGACGTGCATCTCGTCTGCCCGTAACCCGACTGGCATCGCATTTGGGACGGCGCGCGCCCACTTTGTTTCGTCCCAACCCTGCTAGCGCTGTCCAGGAACCACCCTAGCATGCCCCTGACGTCTCCAACGTCTCCTCTCCGGCTTGGCGGCCCCGTGTCTCATGCACACGGGTCATTCACGGGCTCAGGAATTGTCCATCGCGAACACCGTCTTGTTGCAGCTGGCGGACGGCCGCACTTGATGGCTATTTTCCGCACGCTCGGCTGGCCGTGACGAAAGGGGGTTGTCGAAGTCTGTTTGGTGTTGCAGCGGAACGGCGGGAGGTGCGGGAGCGGGCCTCGTCTGCTGGCCGTCGTGGCCGCAGCCTTGCCGACAAACTTTATTCTTGGCAAGGGAGCATCGCGGCGAACGTGTCGAGCCAACCCTCATCGGTCGCGTGTGTCTCACGACGGGCTTGGGCGTCAATCCGGCTGCTAGCGCTCGCGATGGGCCAGTCGTGCTGCGCGGTGCTACTTGTCGGGACTCGAGAGTTGGTCGTCTCCTCCCCAAGTCGCCCCTCCTGCGGCCGCTAGACCTGCGAGCGAGGAGGCCTTCATTTCCCTCCCGCCGATCCACCCTTTGCATTGGCCGCTGGAAACACTCGCAGATCCGAACAGGCGGAGAGGGTCCCCTGCCCGCCATGCCTGTGGGGTTGATGTTGGTGGTTGAAGGCCCCTCGAGTCCATCGTCCATCCCGCACGGAGCACCTCGTCCACGCCGTCTCGTTTCCTCGGCTCGTCTCGGCTCGTGAGTAACTACGAATGTCAGTTATCTCGGGCTGGTAACTCGAGGCACGGCCACTCGTCAGCGATGCGAGCTCCTCCCTGCGCAGCTCCGCTCAGCTCGTCAGCTTTGTACGACCACGGCAGACGGACACCTCACCTCTCTCACTCACCACGCTCATCCTCTGGGGCGGGGAAAGCCCGTCGATCGAGCCGCACGAGTCGCCATGCCGCAGCTGCACTTGCTGCAGCCTGTGATCACTGACGCCCCCAGTTGCCAGGCGCTTAAACGGTGAGGTACGGGCCAATCATCTTTCACCCCTCCACCTCAGCTGACCGGTGAGCTGCAAGGTCGATTCTCGATCGGCGTAGCGAGTGCTGCCAGCGGTTTTTCCATTTTTGACGTGCATAGTTCGTGAGAACCAACAGAGGCGTTGCCAGAGCCAGGTTCGCGCGAGCTGAGCTGCGCGGTTGGCGCTTGCCATCAGGGGAACCGCCCCCTACCCCAACAAGCTGCACAGCCAGAAGGCGCGCATCCCGTTCCTTCCTTGATTCGGCCGACAGGCACCACAGCATGATGAATCATGGCCAGCTCGTGACAGGTCACGTTACTCTCGTCAACTTCACCGAATCTCAGCTGCCATTTCATTGTTGTTGAGAACTCGCAGTCACAACACGTCGCGATCACCAGGGCTACCAGCAGGCGCAGCTACGATAACCTTACCTAAGACGTGACGATTTTCAGCGGATGTACTGCTTGAGCTGGCACCCTTTATCCTCTCATCATTTATGATGCCTTCGATATCCTGGAGTTTGTTGACACGCGGTGCGGACAGTTCCAGCGGGTGCTCCTAGCAACACTCACCGATGACTTGATATCAGCAAATCGCCAAGTGGACTCTGCCGCCGAGGCAGATCGCTGTAGCATCCGTAGCACCCGTCAAGATAGCATGGCTCACGGCCGATGCACCGGCCGTCAATGCAGAACAGTCTTGGCTGAGCGTACTGTCATAGGCGATTCGGGCACACTTAGCAGTAGATTACTTCGCGAAGACATGTAGGCCGAGAGTTCCCTATAGACTTGGCCATGCTCCGTTCGATGCTTCTGGTGTTCAACGAGCTTGCTCGGGGTACTGGAGGCGATTCAGTGCCGAGATGCACTTCCGTGACGCGACGATGACATCCAGCGTCCCCTCCGTTAGCTGCGAAGTTCCCTGCTTGAGGTGACTACCCTAAACCGTTCAGTCAGCCGATACCGTAGGTCGAAGTCTAGCTGTTCGCCTCGCCTACGACCCGAAGGGCGACGTCGATGTGCACTTCGCAAACGGGGCTCAAGTTGCTTGCCCGAGGCTGTACATACGTAGTCTTTCTATAGCGATATTCCCACAGACGACTGTGGTCTCTTGGCTGATGCATGCCAGGGCCGGCTTGGGCATGAAGGTTCTCGTACTTGCCCTTCTGCTCATCGCTCCGGAGGGGTCTGCCCATGGCCATAGCGGAAGACGTTCCAAGAACAATGTGCGTAGTGATGGCTTGCACCATAGTATCGGAATGGCCCATCCAGCCGATTGGTGGCCCAAATCCAGACGCTTGATAACAACCTGGAAGCAGAGTTCGTGAGGTGTTAGAGAGCCGATTCTCATGAAACCCGGAGGACGTATCGATCTGGTAGATCTGCTCTGTCGGCTTCATGTACGACCCTTCCTCTTCTACGTTGCCCTGTTCAAGTCATAAATCATCTATCCAAAGCGAAAGGCTTTCTTCCTCGCCCGACATGGAGTCGAGCAGTTTATACTGGTTCGACGGAAACTATACTTGGGACCCTCCCTCAAAGGTATCTGTTTTCCCAGCCTTCTCCGTGTCGTCGCCCAAGGCATGCGATCCTACGTGGAATACCCGGCCTGGTGCTGAAAGTCTAGCGGTTCGATCCGGGCATGGGTCTCGCCGCGGCTAGGCATCAGTGCTTGGACACTCGAGCAGTATCCCAGTCTCATCCTCATACTCGAGAGGACGACGACTTGGTACCGCACTGGCTAGGCGAAGGCTGGGACCAGAAGGGCTGGCGTAGTACCAGAGAGGGAGGCTGTACAACTTTGCAGAACTGGCTGGGTGGCCACCTCTCTCTGCCTCCTGTCGTCTCGTCGCGGCTGAGCATATGCAGCTGAGATGGGAGACGGAGCCAGCGGGCAAGCGACGCCGGCCCCTGAGCTACCAAAGCTTGTCGATGGCTGCCAGCATTAGAACAAATGATCAAATACCCCTGACCTTTCAGGCAACACGGCCCAAGTCCCAGAACAAGGTGCCGTGGTGAGGGGCATCTGGACCGCCTCGTCGGTCAGGGATGTAATCACAAAGCCACGGACGACAACGGGTGCTCGTTACAAGGATCGCAAGTCACTACGGATATCTTCATATCTAAGCTTTCCTGCTTCGGATATAGCCCCTTTATTGATGCGCTGTCTTACAGAGGCGGCCCTGCAGATGGCGCATCAGGCCCATTGGTTCAATGCAAGTGAAGAGAGACACCGATATTGCGTCCCGTGCCATGAAGCGCCAAGTTAAGGTGATGATGATATGCGTGGAGTCGAGTTGCCATATGAGCCCAGAAGCAATTCGTCTCCGATATGCAAGAACATGGATGACAATAGGAGGGTGATTGGCAGCGCTCAGCATGGACTCGCCACGACAACATTGCCAAAATCTCGAGGTATCGCACCTGCTTGTGACTCGTGAGAAATGTAGCTTGCTCAACCTGCGTTGGCCTTGAGGTCATCCAGCTCCCCTCCGACTTTGTGCCAGCTTTTGGGCTCATGCTGTGTGATGAGGCGGCGCTGTTCAGCACCGCGGCGCTTCATGCTAGACACCATGCATGGCAGGTATGGGATCGTGTAAGTCGGTCTCGTCTGAAAGGCCAGCAGGTTTCGCAATGAGGCGAACCTGTCGATGTTTCGGGATACGTGAGGCTTTGAAGAGTGCCATCTGACCCTTTTCGCGTTGTCGCCCACTCGCCGTCACTTCGTCCGCCGAGCGCGAAACGTTCACCTTGACCTTGGCCAGCTGGAGGAATATAGCGTAAGCAGTGACGATATAATTAGGAATGACAACGAAAGATTGGTCTACGCGTGGAGTTTCCTCGATCACCTCCTCAACGCCACGTCAAGGCGTGTCGACCTGTCGTTCGCCCATGTGGTCGCATGTCAGCAAGAGGCAATATCCCGAAATGAAGTATACTGCAATCAAGGGCGCTGGATCCAATTCCCAAAGCAGAGTTATCCGGCCAGGCGACTGCACTGCGGTAAGTCTCTAAGCCCTGGCCGAGTCGCAGCCCGCCCCTCTTCTCAGCATGTGGACTCGTGAACCGAAGCTTCCGGGCCGCTGCCCGCGCCGTCCCTTGTAAGCATGTAAGAGCGGGACAATGTATGGGCTCGGACTATCATCAGACGACGTCTTCTGCGGGGCACACACCTTTTTCGTCGGGAGGCGACGTGGCGCTGGGCCGGCGGTAACAACGCAACATAAGCCGGCGTCTGTCATCGCTCTCGGCCCCCAGGTTGCGTCGACGGCCGTGTGGGGAGTATAACGTCTGACATAACGCATCAGATTAAACATTCGGGACTGGCCGGATGAGAGAAGGAGCATAAAACGCAACGCAAGGGATGGCAAAGCCACACTGCGCGTCGTTGAAGCGGTGGACTTGGCCTGGCACAGGCGGGATGACCATGTCGGGCGGTGACGTATCTCCGGGGGCTGACACCTCCCTTCGAGGATCTCCTGACTCCGCTCGAGGACTGGTGAAGCGTGATGTGAGGCGGAAACACCGAGTTCCATGGGGCGGCACCTGTTCCACCCGTATATTTACCCGTCAAGTCGATAATAGAGCCAATGTAGCAGCCGCCCGACGGGTCGCGGGGCTTGCGCTTCACGGCCACAGGGCATGCACATGGCCAGCCACTTCGCTCATGATACAAAGTATGTATATGTATGTCCATGTACAGATACATGCGTAGGGCTGGCAGCGGACGACATTGGCACGGCCAATGCATCCTACCCAAGCCTGGCCCCCCTGTCCGGCTTCCCCAGATGCGGACTAACAACGGCCAACGGGCCCGGCCATCGCCATTCAAATCCTGGCTTGGCTTCTCGGGCATGTCCGAGAGGATTCGCAGTCGCCGAGCCTCTGTATTTCCTTCAGTTCGGTCTTCCCTAGCCTGCAGGAAAGAAGTGTGAGCTTGAGTGTAGTGTGAGTGAGTGAATGAGGTGCAGATTCTCCCTCCTTTGCCCGTGCCGCAGGTGATGATGAGCTAGCCGTTAACGAAGTACTGGCAATCGCCTGGCGTTCACTCGATCCTGCGTAGCGCAAACAAACATCTCTTAACTCCGTTGGCCGCGTTTGCTTGGTGTTGACGGATCGTTGGGAGCATCTTGATTCCTCATGGTCGCCGAACACACGCGTGCGCGCCCGCCCGGTGCCTCACTGCCTACGAAGTACACCGCGCGTGTTTGACATCATCAGCAGGGAAGAAAAAAAAAGAGGGTTTCCACTTGTGTGCTGATTTCCAACTTGCTGACTTGTTCCTCCGTAAATACACGTACACGTCGGGACACGGGACTGGGCGCTGGCTTTCATAGTTGGCGTACGTAGTATGCTGTTGTTCTCACGTCAGAAGCCTGTCTGTCTCTCTGTCTGTCTGTCTGTCCACTCGCGCCGCCGCGCCCCTGCGGAACATCAACCCCCTCCTCCTTTACTCTTTACTCTTTTGCCCTCTTCGGCGAGCGAGCCGTCCAATGATCCAACCCTCCATTTTCCATATCGAGCACCTGCCGGCTGGGGCCCGTCCCTCACTTGTCGTCTCACGCACCGCACCCACACGGCACGGCATTCATCCAACCCCCCTTCATCCTCCTCCCTGCAAGGTGCGTTACAATCGCATTGTCACTCGCACACCCACCCGCCCAGCCGACTCGCGCGCGCCCTGGACAACGTGCCCCGTTGCAGGCAGCATGGGGGCAGGGGGGGAGGGGG